TTTATAAAATAGTTAATGAGTTTACGAGTCAGGCTGCTAACCTCAGGTTCAGCAATTTGAAACAACCAGCCGTTCCATGGGAGAAAGATGAGGCTTTCTGTTCCCGTAAAGATTTACAGTCTCAGAAACCCTATGCAGGGTTACTATGAGTTGGAACCAACTCCACAGCACACTACCATCACCCCCACCATAAAACAGTTATTATTGAAAGCTTTGTGAATATCACTGGAGTAGAGAGAGAAGGGATCTTGATTTTCTGTAATTTAGGAGAGGAATAGTTTGAGTTAATATTTGCATACTTCCTTCCTAAACTGCTAAGATCTTCTAATTTTTGCACCTTTTTTTTATTATTATTATTGTGAACTGAGTGATAGTTTACATGGGAGAACATTGTAATGAAACACTATCGTTTCATTGCAATGATTACAATCCCCTCCGTGCATCATAATTCAGCAGTATTTGCTTCCATTCCCTCAGTCTTTATTTTGGTGTTTTGTTTTCTTGGGTGGGGGGGGACTGGGAAGATGTACATAAAAACACTCAGGAATATATAATAATTTAAACAACCAAAGGGCACATTCTGCAAACCTGCCTCCTGGCTGCCAGCACTCAGTCCATCTCTTTCCATGAGTCTAGAGTCCTCAGATGCTCCCTTTCTGGTGTCACAGCTTCTCTGAATAGGGCCCACATTCTGCTTGGGCTCTTCTCCCTTAATGGTCCTAGGGTCCTCTGTTTTTGGACTATAAGATTAACAACTCTCCCCTTGTTACAAAACTTCTATCTTTACAGTTGTGATAGTTGCAATTAGTCATGACTAGTAGTTACTCACTATTGAATCATAAAAATCTTATCCCCATCTCTTTTCACCAGGCAAGATAAAAACTCTTCAGTGGGGACTCTATCTTCTCACACATACTCAAACTAAACTTCCTCTTGAAAACTTGTAAGCCAGTCACTTCGTGCCTTTATAACCCCCTCATTTTAGGTAGCCAATGTCTAAATTGCCTGTCCTTATCTACCCTGTATACAGAGAGGCACACCATTTCATTTTAAAAAGAATTAAGTTGGAAGTCAGATCTTTTTAAAATAATGTAAAACCTAACCTTAACTAATGATTTAGATCTTAAAAATCTTTGTTGCTATGATTACAAGGAACCTAAAAGGAGCTCTGGTAGCGTAGTGGTTACAAATCAGAGTGTGAACTGCAAGGTCAGCAGTTCAAAACTACCAGATGGTCCACAGGAGAAAGATGAGGCTTTCTGCTCCCGTAAAGATTTACAGCCTTGGAAACCCTGTACAGGGTCGCTATGAGTCGTAACCGACTCCACAGCACATAACAACAACAACAAAAGACAAATGATAACGAAAATCCTAAACCCATTTCTGTGGGGTAGATTCCAACTCATGGTGATCTCATGCATTACAAACTGCTCCATTGAGTTTTCTTAGCTGTAATCTGTATGGAAAAAGATTGCCAGGACTTTGTTATGCAACACCATTGGTTGGGTTTGAACTGCCAATCTTTAGGTTAGTAGTTGAACACAACCATTTAGGCCATCTAAGGACCTTGAAAATCATTAGGAGGGAAATAAGACCAAAAATATTTTTTTGTTTTTAATCAAACTGTAGGCCAAGGTTATTTTATGTTCATGAGCCAGAGACAAATGCAAGTTCTAACCTGACTTTGCAGGTAACTTATTCTGTGTGTGACCTTGAACAAGTTACTTAAAACTCCATTTTACCCATTTGCAATGGACTGTGCCCAGTGCACAATAAAAAGTCTGGACAGTCTTATTTTCTTAATGATTGAAATCTTTGCAATTAGAGGAAGAAATTTCTTAGACTTGTTAAATTGTGGGTTTGATGGGGAGAAGGAGAAAAAAGAAACTGGGTGGAATTTAATAAAGTAGTTTTGCAAATTCTCAAAGACTTAAAATAATAGGGCTTAAACAATTACAGAGCATTATTCTTGCAACTAGAGTTTGTCTACAACTCTTCTTTTTCAACTCATTCACTATTTTCAAAATTTAAACAGTACTTTCAAGGGTTTCATATTTCATTTCCCTCTTCCAATTTCAGAGGTAGGATAGCACAAAGAAAAGGAGAAACCAAGAAACAGTTAATTTTTATAACAAATAATGTTAAGTAATATCCAAATGACAGGCAATCTTGCCTTTCTGGTACCTTACTGTTTGTCTTTTTGCCTCTGAAAATCAGATTTTATAAAAATAGCTTAATGAGAATTGAGAAAATGCTATTGAATTGTGCATTTTGTCATCTCAGAATCCAGGTTTCAGATCCATTTAACTCAGGCATTTGAAAAGCAAACAAAAAACATTATTTTTTTACAAAAGTGATGTTGTTGTTGTTGTTATGTCCTGTGGAATCAGTTCCGACTCATAGCAACCCTGTACAGGGTTTCTGAGGCTGTAAATCTTTACGGGAGCAGAACGCCTCATCTTTCTCCTGCGGAACAGCTGGTAGTTTGGAACTGATGACCCTGAGGTTAGCAGCCCGATACGTAACAACTACGCTACCAGAGCTCCTTTACAAAAGTGATAGACACTTGAAAATTCAAAACATTGTCTTGCTTTCTCTTCCCCACCCCTTTCAACACCCTACATTAATAATATAGTCCTCATCCAGTGCTGAACCACTGAAAAACTGACAAAAAGTGGAAACCCTAGTCAGGTCTTCTTTGGGATATACACTAGCAGTCAAATCACTAGCATGCCTACTCATTTCTGGTGAAATGCTATGTTAATAATGACTGGAGCTGTCATTTGTTATCGGGGTCTGAGACCTGCTCAGACCACTACGTGGGTTTCCGGAAGGAGAGGCGAGGATTGATTAGTCAGATAAGGTTTTACAAGGAGTGGTTGGTGAGCTTGAACTGCCAACTTTATGTTTCAAATTGACCTTGAGGTCCAGTGCTTTATCCCACAAGTGCCACACCAGGACTCCAATAAATAAAGGGGTAGTCTGGGCTTTCCAGAATATTTCTCAGGAGTCACTTCCTAATCCCAGGGCAGAGAACTATCAGACCGGATACAGGGCAGGATAAGATGCCTCTAGCAGTTTATGCCAAGCCACTACACACAGCTATTTGCTGATGTCAGGCCATGCTTAAAATACCTTAAAACACAGCTGTGGGTGGCTCTGGCTGCTTTGAGCCTAGGCTAGAACAGAGTAGGAAAGCAATGGCTTTACCTTTGAGGAGGGCCACAAAGAGCACTTGCAATCCAAATGCACAGGTTAGTAGAAGAGTGTTGATGATCAACACTCCAGGGATTAGATGCATTTTGCCTTAGCTAGAAATGTATATATCTGAGTTTATGAAGAAAAGGAGACCAGAAAGACGTATTTATGGATTCAGAATGAGAGTTCTGGATGATGAGTTTTAGGGCTAGTGAATGGCTTTTATGAGTTCTATTTCGGGGCCAATAAATTTAAATTCATGAGTACAGGAGGACATGACATGTGCTGGACAGTCTACCCAAACCACACAGACATCTGGTGAGACCAGGCAACAGCAGCATGGCTGCTTTTAAGACACACAGATTCAATCTAACAAGACCCTCCTTGCTCTTTGAATCTTTGATACTCTCTGCACATAGTATCATATAGAATCATCTGCTCTTTATACTTTTCAGCTTCCAAAACAATGGAAAGAGCACTAGTGTTTCTTTGGTCTGTATTTTCATGGATTTAAGTGTAATCATTTGGCTGGATACTGAAAGAAGAGAGTAGTATGCACACAGGAGGGAATTTTTAACTTCTTTGCTTTATGTCCTCACATCTTAGGAGTTTTTGATAACAGCTAAATCTTTTTTCTTTTTCTATTTTTAACTTTTTATCAGCAACTTCAGTTCCTTTTACTACTTTAACTTTCTGAAAACTTGAGTTTTGAAGATTAAGATAAGAAATTTTCGGGTTTTATATTTTAGTTTTAAGAGGTTTAAAGTTAGAATCATAGCTGTTCCTTTTCAAAGACTTTCTCCCGTTCACCTCCTCTTGTAGCTGCTTGTTACAGCACCACCTTCTGTTGAAGTTTCTTTTGACAGCCATTGATCACTATCTTAGTCACATAAAAGGCGACTTGGACGTACAATTTTAGTTAAATGTTAGCTGCTCACCAGCTTTTATTATTACAAAAATTAAAATTCAGACTACCTCTTTTTTCTAAAGAGAGTATTTAAGGAATATTTTCATGTGCACAAAATGTTGCTATGTATTAAAATTCATATAAGTAATTTGCAGTTCAGAGCTTAATATTAAATTTTTGCATATGGTAAAGTTTTTTTTGTTTTGGTTTGGAGTCCTGGTGTGGCACTGTGGGATAAAGCACGGGATCGCAAGGTTGGTTTGAACCACAAGGTCTGCAGTTCAAACTCACCAGCCGCTCCTTGGAAACCCTATCCAGGGTCCCTATGAGTCCAAACCAACTTGACATCACCTAACAACAACAACAAAGGCTTTTTACAGGGGAAAATGTAGCTATTAAAAGGGATTTTCAAAAAGTAAAATCAGCCTGTGATATTTATTCAGTCAGAGATGACAGCATTGATTTAGAAAAATTGGACTAACCTAAATCTGCCAAAAATAACTTGTCAAGCGTTACTTTAAAAAAAAAAAAAATGCTTACAAATGAGAGGACTGAGAATTCATGTCCAAAGTTTTTCTCTTAATAGTTCTGATTATGTTTGAATTGAGTTTTGGCTTCTGGACGGCCCACAAAATTCTCACCACAATTTTTAAACTGGTTTGGGTCATCTTGGGTACATAGTCAAGTCTTTGAGATAACCAAACATACTTAATGGATTTTGAGCGTCTTCCAGAATTATACAGACAACATAACTTCAGACTAGTAACTACCTAAATCACCGGGTATACTTTGGAGTAGAAATGGCAAACTATGCATAATATTTAAACTCTGTACGTAAAATGAACATGACTTCTGTTTCACTCTCTGAAGATGTCGCTTTTCTGTCTTATTCTAGGGACCCTCTGAAAATCCAACAACTCCAGAACCAAATCCGCCTGGAACAGGAAGCCAGCGCTCCACGCAGCGCGCCGCCCTCACCACCCTTCCCGCCGCCGCCTGCCTTCCCAGAGCTTGCGGCCTGCGAGTCGCCCGCGTCCCCAGAGCCCATGAGCGCACTCGCCTCCCGCTCCGCCCCCGCCATGCAGTCCTCCGGCTCCTTCAATTACGCGCGTCCCAAGCAGTTCATCGCTGCCCAGAACTTGGGCCCCGCGTCTGGCCAAGGCACGCCGGCCTCCAGCCCCAGCTCCTCCAGCCTTCCGTCACCCATGTCCCCGACGCTGAAGCAGTTTGGCCGCGCGCCTGTGCCACCCTTCGCGCAACCCTTCAGCGCCGAGTCCGAGGCTCCATGGGGTCGGTCCACTCCTTCGCCCCCGCCGCCTCCGCCACCGCCCCCAGTCTTCAGCCCCACGACCACCTACCCCGTGCCCGACGCGTTCCCTCTGCCATCACCGCCGCCGCCGCTCACGAGCCCGGGCTCCCACTGCCCCTCGCCGGTAGCCCGCTATGGCCACGGCCACAGCCAGACGCCCGCGGGCTTCCTCAGTACCCTGCTGCCTTCACAACCGCTGCCACCGCCGCCAGTGGCCGTCAACGCCCTGGGGCTGCCCAAGGGTGTCACCCCCGCGTGAGTAACAGCGCGGGTCTGCCTCCCTAATGTAGCAGTGCAACTCCCATATGAGTCTATAACCCAGGCGTACATTGACAGATTTTCACATATTTTCCACTATCCGATTTTTTAATTCAATCCCAGGGCTTGGACTGCTAACCACAGGTGGCCAGTTCAAACCCACCAGTCGCTGAGCTGGAGAAAAATGAGGCTGTGCCCTGCAGTAAAAATTTACAGTCCTGAAAACCCTATATTGCTGCTGGTGTTAAGTGCCCTTGAATGGGTTCCAACTCATAGTGACCCTGTATGGGGTTTCTGAGTCTGTAAATCTTCTCTGGAGCAGAAAGCCTCATCTTTCTCCTCCTGATCGGCTGGTAGGCTCAAATCATTGACCTTGTGGTTTGCCGTCCTGTGCTTATCTTTATAGCATCACTAATAGGGTCACTAGAGTCCTGGTGTAGTGATGCAGGATAATGTACTGGACTGCAAGATCAGCGGTTCAAACCCATCAGCCACTCCTGGGAAACCCTATATAGGATTGCTATGAGCTGGAGCTGACTAGATGGCACTTACCAACAACACAGGGCCTTCTATGAGCTGGAAACTCCTCCATAGCAACAGGAGTGGGATATATCCAATGATAGATCTGAGGGGGCAGGGGGGACATGTAAATATCTCTGTTATTGATGCAAATTTATGAAAGCAAGTACAATTTAGTGAAGAAATGATCTTGTCAGCCTTGTCGCTGGCCAGCAGTGATCTCTAGGTAGATTACATAGTTTCTTTGCCTCAGTTTTCAGATTTCTAAAACATCATAATGATGAAATCTTTAAATACAAAAACGATGACAATCAACAAGATGATATACAAAACTGCAGTAAGGCCTTTGAAAGAAACATACAGATGTTTGGAAAGTTTTATTGAAAAGGAAAATGTACAAAACTTGCACTCATTGTACTCAAGTGTTAAAAAAATGAGTTAAATTCTAGCAATGGTCAAGCCAGTTACCATATCTCAACTCTTAACTGTTGAAATTCTACTTCAGAGTTTGCCAGAAATCAAAAATTGTTTAGCAAGAAAAGGAACCTTAGTAAAGAATGAAAATGAGAATATCTCAGAATTCAGGTTTTCATATGCAAATGGTTTCCTGTACTAACCCAACCCATGGCTGTTTAATCTATTATGACTCATTTTGTTGTTGTTGTTAAGTGCCATGGAGTCAAATCCAACCCATAGTGAACCCTGTATAGGGTTCCCAAGGAGCAACTGGTGAGCTTGAACCGCCAACCTTACAGTTCAAACGGCTTTGTAATATGGTGCACTAACCCACAGCACCACACCAGCACTCCTAGCAACCCTTATAAATCAACATTGCTATGTCTGATTTTGACAGTGTGAATCTGTAAAGCCTTAGTTAGTAATGTTGCCTTTTGACAGATACTTTCTAAATATCAATTACATAAATTCTATATTTGAAATCTGGCTTCTTTTCAAATCTTTATGGGAAGACACAGAGTATAACGAATATGTAAATAACCCAGTCAAATAAAGGAGTAGCATCTCTATAGTAATTATGTGATAATGGGCTTCTGTTGAAAAGGAAGTCAATCAACTTGCTAGAGAAAACCTTTTGTCTTTTTCTGTTTGAGCTTTCATTTATCTTGCTACAAAGAAACTGTTAAAACCAGTTGGAGTGGAGTTGATTTCAACTCAAGAGAACCCTTGTTTGCCAGAGCAAAACTATTCCAGAGGGTTTTCAGTACCTGATGGTTTTGGAAGTAGATCACCAATCCTTCCCTACTCTTGTTAGTTGTTGTTAAGTGCCACTGAGTCAGTTCCAACTCTCAGTGGCCCTATGTACAACAGAACAAAACACTGCCTGGTTCTGCACTGTCCTCACAATTGCTGCTGCACTTGAGCCCCGTTACTGCTGCTACGGTGCCAATCTGTCTCATTGGGGTCTCACTCTTTTTCACTGTCTCTCAGTTTTACTAAGCATTATGTTTTCTCCCTCTTGATAATATGTCCAAAATATGAGAGAAGTCTGGCCATCTTGGTTTCTAAGGAGCATTCTGGCTGCACTTCTTCCAACAGATCTGTTTGTTCTTCTGGCAGTCCATGGTACCTTTAATATTCTTTTCCAATACCATAACACAGATATATCAATTCTTCTATGGTCTTCCTTATTCATTGTCTACCTTACACATGCATACGAGGCTATAGAAAATACCATGCTTTGAGTCAGGCGTACTTTCGTCCTTAAACTGACATTTTTGCTCTTTAAAGAACACTTTAAAGAGGTCTTGTGTAGCATATTTGCTTAATGCAATACTTCGTTTGTTTTCTGGACTGCTGCTTCCATGAGCTTTCCAAGAAATCAAACAACATATTGGGTTAGGCAAATCTACTGCGCAAGACTTTTTGAAAGTGTTGAAGAGCAAAGATGTCAGCTTGAGAACTAAGGTGCACCTGACCCAAGTCATGGTATTTTCAATAATCTCATATGCATGCAAAAGCTGGACAGTGAATCAGGAAGACCGTAGAAGAATTGATGCTTTTGAGTTGTGGTGTTGGAGGAGTATATTAAAAGTGCCATGGGCTGCCAAAAGAACTAACAGATCCGTTTTGGAAGAAGTGCAGCCAGAGTGCTCCTTGGAGGCCAGGATGGCTAAACTTCGTCTTTCGTACTTCAGACATATTGTGAGGAGGGACAAGTTGCTGGAGAAGGATATCATGTTTGGTAAAGTGGAGGGTCAGAGAAAAAGAGGAAGACCCCCAACGAGATGGATTGGCCAAGTGGAAGCATCAATGGACTCAAGCATGGCAACAGTAGTGAGGTTGGCCCAGGATCGGGCAGTGTTTTGTTCTGCTGTGCATTAGGGTCACTATGAGTCCGTGCTGACTCGATGGCACCTAACAACAACAACAGCTTCTATGAGTGTTGATCTTGGATCCAAGCAAAATAAAGTCTTTGACAACTTCAGTCTTTTCCCATTTATCATGATGTTACTTATTGATCCAGGCTGTGAATCTCATGGTCAGCAATTCGAAACTACCAGTTGTTCCGCGGGAGAAAGATGAGGCTTTCTGCTCCCGTAAAGATTTACAGCCTCGGAAACCCTGTACAGGGTCGTTATGGGTTGGAACCAACTCCACGGCACATAACAACAACAACATACAGATTGAATAAGTATGGTGAAAGAATACTATGTCGGTGTGCACCTTTCATAACTTTTAACCAACCAGTGCCCAATGGAATGTGAAATCATAGGACAATATCATTAATATCACATGTAAGTAAAATTTTGCTAAAGATAATTCAAAACCAGCTACAGCAGTACATTGACAGGGAACTTCCAGAGGTTCAAGTCTGATTCAGACGAGGATGTGGAATGAGGGATACCATTGCTGGCATCAAGTAGATCTTGACTGAAAGCAGAGAATACCAGAATGATGTTTACCTGTGCTTTATTGACTATGCAAAAGCTTTTGAATATGTGGATCATGTCAAGCTATGGACAATGCTGCAGAAAATGAGTATTCTGGAACACTTCATTATGCTCATGAGGAACCTGTACATAGACTCTTGTTGTTGTTGTTACGTGCTGTGGAGTTGGTTCTGACTCATAGCGACCCTGTACAGGGTTTCCGAGACTGTAAATCTTTATGGGAGCAGAAAGCCTCATCTTTCTCCCACAGAACAACTGGTAGTTTCGAATTGCTGACCATGAGATTCACAGCCCGATTCGCAACCAACTTGCTACCAGAGCTCCTTAGACTCTTGTTAGAGAGATTAAAAACTGGGAGTTCATTGCATGACACTTTTTTCTCTTACTTATTATATATCAGTACTAAGCCTTGCTACTTCAAAAGAAAAATTTCTGTCTTAATGTGTCTCATAGATTCTGATCAAAGATTAGCTTTCAAAGCAATTTGGGTGATCATGCCTCTTATCTTAAGCATAAACAGTGGTTTATTCTGATCTTTGATTTAGAAATGCTCTTAAAATAAACAGTTTTAAGGGCTTAACTCAAGTAACAGAAGCACTTGCTCCTTATCAGCATCTATCACAATAACTCATTTGTTGAAGTCAAATACTTGAGAATAGTTACCATGAAGAATTCCTGCCTCTTCCTAAGTAGTGTAGATTTTGTGGTGATAGGAAACTGACCCCAAATATGTTACATGTGCTATGATACCAACCTGGCAATGTCAGCCTAGTGAATTATTTTTATAGGGTACCTCTTAGTTTTTAAGAAACTTTCCCATTGCTATATCACATATGCTTGAAGAATTCATACTTTTGGTTTGAAATATAGTTTGAAACGTGTGTGTTTTTTTTCCCTGTGGCATATTATAGGACTTGTTATTTGCATTCTGAATTAAAAACAAAAAATGTGACTATTTATCCATCATAACTCAAATAATTTCCTAAGAATTTTGAATGTCCCTTTCAGGGCTGCTATGACTAACTAATTGGCATCCTTGAACTTGTAAGAACTGCTCGACTACTGCCAGATGAATTATTTTGTTATATAAATGAATTACTTTCACTTATATTTCATTAGGAACTTGTAATGATTATAATGGCAAATTCAATATATTACTGCTGGTTGGGTGGTTTGCCAAATAATGTCAGGTGCCAGCAGAGACTGATTACACATGACTCAGTGCAACAGTGGATTATTAGATTTATTTTTCACTTACTTTGTTTTACCAAGATACAAATTTCAGCTACCTTTGTTTTGTTTTTTAAATAATGAATTGCATACTTGTGGTTTTTACTCTGTGTCTGTATGATTATTGTTGCTCTTGTTGTTAAGTGCTGTCAAGTCAGTTCTGACTCGTAGCGATGATGCTATATAGAGTTTCCAAGGAGCAGCTGGTGAGTCCTACCTGCCGACCTTGCGGTTCAAATGGACCTTGCCGTCCAGTGCATTAGTCTGCAGCACGACACCAGGACTATCCTCCAGTACTCTTATTTTAATGAGGAACTAAGTTTCTAAATTGTCTGTGGA